CCCCAAAACCCCAAAACCCCAAAACCCCAAAACCCCTTTATAAAATAATATAATTAAATCTTTCTTTTGAATCCAACAGTTCACTAATGAAGCTATACTGGTGCCATTCTTGTAAAATACAGTTCGAAGACTGCTTTATAGATGATGAAGAACCCGTCTGTGAGAACTGTAATGGCGTTTTTATTGAGGAGATCGAGCAGCAGGAGAGGGATTCCGATCATCCCAAGAATTTTGTACCTTATACGCCTCCAGTACCGGAGCCATCACCCCCTGAAAGCAATTTCGGAAATGGAAACATCTCTTTTATGGTAGCCCCTGGAAGCGGAGCTCAAGCGATCAGGATTATCAACTCTAGTAGAGGGAATGGTGGAGCCAGTGCTCATGGAGGCATGGTCGGAAATCTTATGTCAATGATCAATAACCTTCTCAATGGAGGAGGAGGAGACCTCTATGAAGGAGGACAGACATTCGACCAAATTCTACAACAAATCGTTGCTAATGATCCCAATAGATATGGGCCTCCTCCAGCTTCGAAAGATGTAATTGATAAACTTCCAAGAGGAACTTATGAAGATTTTTATCCAAAAGATGAAGAAAGTAAAGATGAAAAACAGCAAAAAGATAAAGAAGATAATTCTCAATGAGGTGTTTGATACGATGAGTATAGTTATGAGGATACACAAGAGCTTATCAAGTTACCTTGTAATCATATGTATCATACAGAGTGTTTGCTCCCATGGCTGGAGAAACATAACACCTGTCCTGCTTGCAGACATGAACTCCCAACTGATGATATCGATTATGAAAACAATAAACTAAACAGCCAAAATCCTAACTATATGCGTGACTTGCTACGCCAAGCTAATGAGAATCCTCCAGATGGTTCAGATAACAACGAGCCAGATCAAGAGCCTCCAAGTAGTGGGTCGGGTAGTTCAATGCCAAGCTATCATTTTTAATTCTAAGTAACTCTTTTGAGTAATCTCAATTTTTACAAGGAAAATAGGGGTTTTGGGGTTTTGGGGTTTTGGGGTTTTGGGG